TGAGTTCACAGAAAAAGTGAGGGATTTCTAAGTCTGAGCAGAAGCACAGACCCAACACCATTAAGCTTTGTAACAAGGAATGTAGGGCACTCAGGATCCAGGACACCAGAACAAGAAGTCCACAAAGCTTGGGGTTCATGATGACCATGTAGTGCAGGGGGTGGCAGATGGCCACATACCTGTCATAGGCCATCACGGTCAGGAGCAATTCGTCCAACACTGCAAAGAGTACGAAAAAATAAATCTGTGTGATGCAGCCTTCATAGGTTATGACTTTCTTCTGTGTCTGGATGTTCCACAGCATCTTTGGGACGGTGGTGGAGGTGAAACAGATGTCTACCAAGGACAGGTTGGAGAGGAAGAAATACATGGGTGTGTGGAGGTGGGAATCTGAGCTGAAGGCCAGGATGATGGGCAGGTTTCCCAATACAGTGGTCAGGTACATGGAGAGGAAAAGCCCAAATATAAGTGGCTGTAGTTCTGGTTCCTCCGAAACTCCCAGGAGAATAAATTCTGAAATTGAGGTATCATTGCCTTGTACCATGTGGTGGAGGTGATGACTAAGAACAGAAATATTATATGATTAATTTTTACACAAAATAATCTTAGTAACAGTTGAAATACTACCATATATTTTTTGTCATCACAAATTAACATATCTTTAAAAAAAATCATCTGAGGATATTTTTTTCGTTGATTATTTTAGAGAGACTGGAAGGGAGGGAGGTGGGGGAGAGAGACAGAGAAACACTGATGAGAGAAAGACACATTCAGTGATGCCTCCCATACAATGCCCGACTAGGGCCAGGCATCGAGCCTGCAACCACGGTGCGTGCTCTTAACCGGAATTGAACTCAAGACCCTAAAGTGGGCTGATGCTTTAACCATTGGGAAAAACTGGCCAGGGCAAGAATCAATATATGCATTTTGAATGGATCTGGTCATCTTTATGGATCTCCCCTGACATCTTTCATTAAGATTTCTATCCCACATAGACTTTTCTTCCAAGAGGTCATGTAATGAAAATTGCTTTGCTGTAGTTTAGGAATATATGTTGAGTACTGACCATCACTAGGCAGAGGGCAGAGGATACTGGGAAACAAAAGCCCAGAATATAATGATGGTGAAAACATATATACAATAAAATGAGTCATGTCAGATTGAGAAAGGTGCTGTGAAGAAAAAAATAGTTATAAGAAAGAGTGGGTGAGGGTGTTATTTTTTTTTACTGGGAGTTCAGGAAGCCCTGCAAACAAGGTGACATTCGAACAAAGACCTCAAGGAAGACAGAGAGAAAGACACAAAGATATCTGGGGAAGTGTGTGCCCTGTTGGTGAAAGAGCCCAGCAAAGACCATGAAAATGACAGTCTCAGATATTTAAGTCTCCAAAAGGAGCCAGTGCCCAGAGGGGAGTGAGCAAGAGGGATGACAGAAGAGGTCAGAGAAAGTTGAGGAATGAGGTGGCCTCTTTGCTGTTGCTCAAACTTTAAGACACAAGGAAGCCCTCCATTAATTGTTGTTCCCTACAATGTATCTATTTTGTTTGCAAAAAATTTGTTTCAGTTGAAATTACCCTTCAATTTCATTTGTTTCCTCACATTCTGGCACCTTTATTTCAAGGACATTGTTACTCCCTCCTCTGAGCACATTACTTCCCTGAGAGACACTGGTCTGGACACAGAGGAAATTATTCCTGCTATTTCTCCTCCCAAGAGGCCAAATTAGAAGTCAAGTGAATCCAGTTTTTTTACTCCTTCCCTGTAAACTCACCTGCCTTCCGGAGTTTTAATATCCTTGCATCTTATACCAACCTTGGGTTAAAGTTTTCTCTACATCTAAGACTGAGTAGCCTATAAGACTACGTCTTGTGGACCTCCAAATTATTCACTTGTGGCTAGGAGCAACTGAGGCTCTAGGAAATTGTTATTACCAAGAGATAGAGGAGTGTTCCTTTGTTATAAAACCATGGGCTTTGGAGCTTAAGAGCTGTTATTTAGCACTTCATTTATGAAATGTTGGTTAATAATATTATATACTTAGAAGTTTCTGTGCACTATGAACCAAGATTAGAGTCTTATATAGATTATCTTATTTAATTTCTACAAAATTCCATTTGTTAAAACCCATACTATTCCAAACCTCATTCTACATTTGAGAAATGTTGTTCAGAAAGGTGAAATGATCTGGTGACCCCTTTGGGAGTCGAATGACCCTTTCACCGGGGTCGCCTAAGACCATCGGAAAACACCTATATAATTACATATTGCTTTTGTGATTAATCACTATGCTTTGATTATGTTCAATTTGTGACAATGAAATTGGGGGTCACCACAACATGAGGAACTGTATTAAAGGGTTGCAGCATTTGGAAGGTTGAGAACCACTGCACTAAATGAAAGATTCAGAGGGGGCTGGGGTCGCACACCTATGACATGAAGCCATAATGTATCAAAAGAGATTTTTATTCCCTGAACCTGTGTGCAGGTGGACTGAGATTGTGAAGGGCATCAGTGAAGAGAGCAGGGAGAGAGAGGCTTTTATTAATTTTTGCTGGCTGTAAGCCGTTCTGCTGACATAAGGATCCGGTCCGTCCTTGGTTCCTCCCAGCGTCAGGTGGTTAGTGGTTATCTGGGCCCTCTAGGTTGCAAGGTTGCTCAAGGTTGCAAGCTTCCTGTAAGATATCTGCTAAGCACAATAAGTTTTTCTCTGCCCCGTTTTATTCTCTTTAACCCTTTTACCCAGAGGTGCTGTCTTTGTAATTATTTCTCAGTTAATAGTAATGCTACATGTCCTGGTCTGTGTAGCACTTTGAGTGTCAATGTTGTGGGCCAGTGTTAGACTTAGATTTAGGTATTTTCAGGTCTTTTTACCAAGAGCCCTCCCACATATCACGTGAGACATTAGGGGGCAAGTGTTAGACTCAGTAGTTCAGATTTTGCTCAAACAAGTTTATACTTGCCTCTTGAGTGTATTCCCTCATGACAAGAAAGAAAACTTTTAGGCCTTTGCTTCTTCATTTACAAACTCAAGAAATTGTATCTACATTATGGAGTTGATGTGAATAGTAAGTGATATTTTAGAGATCAGCTATAAGTATTAAAAATATATATACTCTTTCATTCAGGGTTTCTCAAGTGCAGCATAAGTGGCATCTTGGATTGTAAGAGGGTCAGAAGTTCCCCCTGGAAAAATATCTTCCTTCTCCCCTCCCCATAATGGCAGACCCTAGTACAGTGGTTGGCAAACCACGGCGCGCGAGCCACATGCAGCTCTTTGGCCCCTTGAGTGTGGCTCTTCCACAAAATACCACATGCGAGCGCGCATGTAAAGTGAGATTGAAACTTCATGGCCTGTGAGCAGAAGTTGGATTTTGGAAAGGAGATAGACGAAACAACTATACAAGACGAGTGTGGATGGGAGAGTTGGAAGGGGTCAACCTCAGCGAACGTACCTCAATCAGATTGAGGACGTTTTTAGCAAAGGCCAGCTTAGGAGTACCTTAATTAAGTTAATAACAATGTACCTACCTATATAGTTTAAGTTTAAAAAATTTGGCT